CGGCGCTCGCTGGTGCCCTACCTGAAGGGCCGCGAGGTGGGCGCGCGGGGCCGCGCCGGGCTCCTGGGCTTCGAGGGCGAGCTGCGCGGCTACGCGGTGCAGAAGCTGCCCGAGCTGCTGCGGGAGCGCGAGCTGGCCCTGGGCACCCTCAACAAGGTGTTCGCGTCGCAGTGGCTGAACGCCAGGCAGGTGGTGTGCGGCACCAAGTGCAACACGCTCTTCGTGGTGGACGTGCAGTCGGGCCAGATCACGCGCATCCCCCTCATGCGGGACCGGGAACCCGGGCCGGCTCGGGCCCAGCCGAGCTGCGGCATCCACGCCATCGAGTTGAATCCCTCCAAGACGCTTCTGGCCACGGGGGGCGAGAACCCCAACAGTCTGGCTGTCTACCAGCTGCCCACCCTGGACCCCGTGTGCCTGGGCGACCGCCTCGGCCACAGGGACTGGATCTTCGCCATCGCCTGGATGAGTGACACAGTGGCTGTGAGCGGCTCCCGCGATGGCACCGTGGCTCTGTGGCGGATGGACCCCGACATATTCAATGGCAGCATCGCCTGGCACAACGACGCGGGGCTCCCCGTGTACGCCCACATCCGTCCAAGGGACTTGGAGACCATCCCCAGGGCCAGCACCAACCCCAGTAACCGCAAGGTACGGGCCCTGGCCTTCAGTGGCAAGAACCAGGAGCTGGGAGCGGTGTCCCTGGACGGCTACTTCCACCTGTGGAAAGCCCGGAGCACCCTGTCCAGGCTGCTGTCCATCAGGCTGCCCTACTGCCGAGAGAACGTGTGCCTAACCTACTGCGACGAGTTGTCCCTGTACGCGGTGGGCTCCCAGTCCCACGTCTCTTTCCTGGATCCGCGCCAGCGCCAGCAGAACATCCGGCCCCTGTGCTCTCGAGAGGGCGGCACGGGCGTGCGCTCGCTGAGCTTCTACCAGCACATCGTCACCGTGGGCACGGGCCACGGCTCCCTGCTCTTCTATGACGTCAGAGCGCAGAAGTTCCTGGAGGAGAAGGCCTTGGCCAGCCCGGACTCCTCTCCCGGGCCCGCAGCGAGGAAGCTCAAGCTCACCTGTGGCAGAGGCTGGCTCAACCACGATGACCTGTGGGTGAACTACTTTGGCGGCGTAGGCGAGTTCCCCAACGCGCTCTACACCCACTGCTACAACTGGCCTGAGATGAAGCTCTTCGTGGCTGGGGGCCCTCTCCCTTCAGGCCTCCATGGGAACTACGCAGGCCTCTGGAGCTAAGGATGGCCGCCCTGTTCTCAAAGTGCCCAGATTACCTTCCAGTCCCCTCCCACTTTCCTTCTTCATGCTGTGTTTGTGCTTTTAACTCTGAGTGGGTTTTGTCCTCCAGGTGGAAACTGCCCAGCTTACCTGTGCTTATTTTGGGGCAGAGAGAGAAAGAGAAAAAGCAGAAGTGGTCTTTTGGGCCATCAAAACTTGGCTTTAATATTTATCTGCACCACCCCCCCCACCGTCTTTTCTGCCTTCTTTTACAAAGAATTTTGTTACCTAATCCTTATTTTTGTTCCCTCTTGAATGATTCACACATGCTCTTTCTCTGGGTTGATACAGTTAGTTCCCGCTACAATTCAGTACTTTAGTTTTACCATTCAGTACTTTAACAGAATGTTCAGGTCTTTTACACATTTCAGATGTATGATATTTCCAGGAAAATGTGTGCTAAAGAGTGTCTTTGGGGCTGGTCTGAGGAACTACCTGTCATATAACAGGGCAGGCTTATAGCCCTGCTCCAGCCAGAAAATGCATTTCAAGTTCTAGATTGCCACCATTTGGGGCATGTTTCATTTGGATGTTGGAGACTTAGTGTTTGTTGTTTGTATATTGTTGGTGCATAAAATACTTTAAAAATATGTTCTGTTAAGAAATCTTACAATGCTATTCATCCTATTAATCACAATTTTGATTAATCACTAAAAATTAGCATCAATACCCCAAGGCCCTCAGCCTTCTTGTTTTAAGCTGCTATATTATGGTTTGCTTTCTTGGATAGCATTTATGCTGCAGATTTTCAGAGCTAATCAAAACTGGCCTATATGTGGCGGGACAATCAGGGAGGTACATTTTGGGGTAAACAGTCCTTTAAAGTTAAGGTAACACTATCCAGGCAGCCATTTACAGAGAAAGGCCAGCTGTTGTGCTCAATGTAGTAGTTGTTGATAGTTTTTTATTGTATACATGGATAATTCTTTTATCTGGATTGAGTATGTGATGTACTGCAGAAAAAAATAAAACGTTCAGCATTTTAGCAATTCAGTGCTCGGCTAAAGTTTTTGAATGCTTAAATATGTACTTTATGTTTTCTTAATTGTCCTTCTAGGAATACAAGTATCAAAGTCGAAATCTTCCTGGAGAGAAACTGAACTGGAGAGGTTTCTCCTCTTCAGGAAAGAAGCTGAAACATCAGCTATGCACACTTTGTACATTTGTTTCTGAAAAGCAAACTTATGCTACTATCATGGGGTAAAAGATTCAATACCAGTTGGAATACCTTATCTCAATGTACTTGCTATAGGTTAGGGCAGTTAGGTGCCTTGTTGGTTTTTTAAGATGATTTAACAAACTGTTTTTCATTTATGCCAACATACATGTTGTGCTTATAACTACCTACTCAAATATACTGGATATTTGTGTATGTGTATATGTTACTTCTCATGTGAGTAAAAGGCATAGATGTATACCATTTTACATATGCGGATATTTCTAATATTTTAAAGTACACATACCAAGACTTCCCACTTGGTCTTTATTGTTGTTTAGCTTTATTTTAATTTAAATTAAGTAATACATGCACATGACCAAAAACATCACACTTTATAAAAGGTGTACAGTGAAAAGTAAGTTTCACACTCCAGAATCGCTGATCTCCTACCGGTAGATCACAAGCAGTACATTTTGTATGTGTATCTACTTATAGTCTATACATAGATAAGCATATATGTGTATGTATGCAATTTTTACACAAATGATAACATGCTGCACATATCTGTGCCTTTTTTGCCACAAAATCTTAGAGATTATTTCTTACACATATCTACCTAATTCATTTTAATTGTATAGTATTCCCCTGTATGGTTGGAACATATTTTATTTATTACACCTTTGATAAGCATTTATATTGGTTTTAATTTTCTGTTACTATAAGCTATTCTGCAGTGATTACTTAGGTGCATACATTTTTGTGCACATATCTAAATATATCTTCAGGATAAATTCCTAGAGATGGAATTGCAGGGTCAATTATATATTTGATAGCCATTGCCAAATTACCCTCTAAAGAGGTCCTACCAACTTAACCTCCCATAAATAATGTATGCATGCATGCTTCACCACACCCTTGCCAACAGTACGTCAAATTCTGTGCTCTTTGCCAATCAGATACCCTCTTGATCTTGATCTTGATCTTGATCCTTTCTTTCTAAGCCACTGTGGCTGAGTTAATTAGATTTGTGGTCAGAGTACCAAGTAGGTTCTGAAACAAAGATCAAGAATATGAGGAAATGAGGGGAAGCAATAAAAATACTGTCAAACCAAAGGCAGAGAACATCTACAGTTCAGGCTCACATATCTGGAGATGGATTACAAAGACTACATTCCTTAGATACATAGCTGGACCTAGTTGAGTTACCCAGTTTATTGCACCCTGGTTTCACTTGGATTCAGTGCATCAGATGTCACTGAAGAAAATCCCAGTAGGATATGATGAGAGTCTGAACTAGGATATTTGAGGTCAGTGTGGAGAGGGAGAAAGTTATTAGAAAAATGAGGGTGAAACAAAGTAAACAAACAGTATTTGGTATTTCATGTGGAGGGTGAAGAAAGCCGAAGAATTTAATTTAGGTGGACTCTAAGGCTCTGGCTTGCATGTAAATGAACACTGGCAACAAATGACTATAGAGAATATAGGCATAAAGGATGCACATGGAAGGTGATCAACTCGACTGGGGACATGTTGAATTTGAGGTGCCTATGTGACATCAGGAGAAGATATCGAGTGAAGGACTATGTCCCAGAATGAGATTTCTCACTGCTGGGAAGATGAGTTATATGAAACGCTAGGAAACTCACCCTGTTATAGGCAGGCAGAATAGAAAAGCCTATCAAAGATCCTAAAAAGCAACGAAGAAGAAAAAAAAGGGGATATAAAATAGAAGATGCTTATTTTACCCAAATGCCATGACCCCATCAATCTGAGACAACAAAATATTTCTTTAATACTAAAATTATAATAAATTTTGAGTCTCCACCTCAGTCACAAAGGGCAGTTTTTCTCCTGGATATCCTCCCTAAGTATTTACCAAGGACCTCGCCTTGGTCCACTAACTAAGCTTCTTCATTGGTCAACTGCTGGTACCTTCTTGGAGAATGAAAAGTCAGACCTTTGTCACAAAGCAGGACTTCACAGTTAGTGATTTCTGGACCACTTAGCCTGCTGGTCTGAGATGTCTCCAGTGCTCCCAACAGCCTGCTGGCAGCAGCATCCCTGGCAGCCATGCCAAAGCCCTGGCAGTCTCACAGAGCTGGAGCATCACCTCACCACCAGTTGCTAGTAGAACATATTTGAGTTCCCACCTCAATGCCACAGGTGCAGTCTCTGATAATTTTCCCAGGTTGCCAAAGGACAAAGGAGGTGTCCAGTGGAGGATGTCCCTTTGCTCAGCATCACAATCCCAAAAGCACAAAGAATTAGAAGTGAGAAAGAAGAAATAGTCACAGGCACAGATTTATTAGGCCAGTAAATGAAAAATCTGAGTGGAGAAATTATCAGAAGATACAAATAACTAAACTTTTTCCAAGAAAAAATGAGAAACAGATCATTAACCCTAGAAAACTGTGAATGTTATGTTTTTAATCTGCCCTTTCCTCCAAGAAAATCACACACATAAACACATAATTATAAACATAATAGGCATGCTAGGCTTGATAGTCTCACAAATAAAGTAATTTTGAGCAGCTTCAGAGCATAAAAAGAAAAGTTTACTCTTTTCTATATGAGGCCAGCATAATATTAATAACAAACATGACTAAAACTGCACAAAATGAAAAGAGATCAGTTTTACATATATAGATAAATAATGCAACTTATCCTTTAAAAACCCTGTGTATCAGTGTATTAAAAGGAAACTATATCATGGCAAAGTGACGCTAGTTCCTTGAACACACAAAGTGAGAAATCTTTCATTGCAGTGTATCGTATGAACAGGTCAAGTGAGAAGACACATGTTTGTGTTAATAAATTTCAGTAAATAACTTAATAAAATCCTACTACAATTCTGATAGGATTCTTAGTAATGTGTGAGGAAATATATTCTTCATATGGTGAGTGTGTGTGTCTGTGTTGTGTTTCAAACCTGAACCAGAATCCTCTTTAAGTGTATAACATCAGAGGAATTCCTATGAAAGTAAGGAACAAAACAAGGATTCTAAAAATAACCACGAGTATTAAATATTATTATGAAGAGTCTAGATACAGCAATTAGAAAAGATAGTAAAATAAAAGGTATAAATATTGGAAAAGAGAAAACAGTTATAATTATTTGCAGATGATAACTGTATAAAAATCCAAAAGGGCCAACTGAAATATTTGTTAGTAACATTGAAATAATTTAGTAAGATGTTCAATTTTTAAATTAATATATAAAAAAATCAATATTTTTTTATTTAGTCAGTCATCAAATATCTTTTGAATGCTTAACCATGTACCAGGCACTGTTCCAGGTGCTAGAGGTACTATGTTGAACAAGACAAGCAAGCCATGCCCTCACAAGGCTTGCAGTCCATTGAGAAGGAAAGAGACAATAATCATATAAACTAGTAAATGTGTAGTATGTCAGATGGTTATCAATGCTAATAAATAAATCAGGGTAAAAGAGAATAGGGGATAAGAATTCCAGGGGAGATGCAATTTTATTTTATTACTTTTTATTGAGATATACTTGACATATTTTATTTGTTTCAGGTATACAACATAATGATTTGATATGTGTATATATTGTGAAATGATCAACACAATAAGTCTAGTTAACACTCATCACTACACATAGTTACAGTTTTTCTCTTGTGATGGGAACTTTTAAGACCTACTCTCTTAACAACTTTCAAATATGCAATACAGTATTACTAACTATAGTCACCACGCTATACCTTACATTCCCAGGACTTATTTATTTTGTAACTGGAAGTTTGTAACTTTTGACTCCCTTCACCCATTTCACCCACGCTCAACCCTCCACCTGTGGCAACCACCACTCTGTTCTCCGTATCTAGGGGTTCATTTTTTTTTTTAGATCCCACAAATAGGTGAGGTCGTATAATATTCCTCTTTCTCCATCTGACTTATTTCACTTAGCATAATGCCCATGTTGTCACAAATGGCAGGATTTTCTTCTTTTTCAGGGCTGAAAAATATTTCATTTTTATATACATACCAAAGTTTCTTTATACATTCATCCCATCGAAGGACACTTAGGTTGGCTCAAGGTTTTGGCTATTGTAAATAATGCTGCAATGAACATTGAGTAAATGTTTTTGTTTCCTTTGGATAAATACTCAAACGGAATTGCTGCATCATATAGTAGTTCTATTTTTAATTTTTTGAGGAATCTCCACAGTGCACCAATTTACTGTCCCACAAATAGTGTACAGGGGCTCCCTTTTCCCCACATACCTGCTAGCACTTGTTATTTCTTGTCTTTTTAATTACAGATATTCTAACAGGTGTGAAGTGATATCTCATTGTGGTTTTGATTTGCATCTCCCTGATTAGTGATGTTGAGCACCTTTTCATGCACCTGTTGGCCATCTGTATGTCTTCATGTCTTCTTTGGAAAAATGTTCTGATCCTCTGCTTATTTTTAATCTGATTTTTTATTTTGCTGTTGAGTTGTAGGAATACTTTATATATTTTGCATATTAACTCCTTATCAGATATATGATTTACAAATATTTTTTCCCATTCTGTAGGTTGGCTTTTCATTTTGTTGATGATTTCCTTTGCTGTGTAGAAGCTTTTTAGTTTGATGTAGTCTCTTTAACAGAATTTGAGTTGATTTTTGTGTATGGTATAAGACAGTGGTCCAGTTTCATTCTTTTGCATATGACTGTCCAGTTTTCCCAACACCATTTATTGAGGAGACTGTCCTTTCCCATTGTATATTCTTGGCTCCTTCGTCATAAATTAATTGACCATATTTGTGTGCTTCTATTTCTGGCCTCTCTATTGTGTTCCAAAAGAGAATAGGGGATAGAAATTGTGGGAAAGATGCAACTTTAAATAAAATTGTTCATGAAAGCCTGGTCAGTAATTTGACATTTGAGTTGAGATCTGAAGGAAGTGACAAAGTGAGCCAAGCAGCTGTATCTGAGAAGAGGGTTGCAAAATGGAGGGACTAGCAAGTACAGACATCTGAGGTGGGACCATGCCTAGTGTGTCAGAGGAGCAGAAAGGAGACCTGTGTGGTTGGAGCAGAATGCATGAAGAAAGGAGTAGGTTCAAAGAGGTAATGGGGGACAACATCATGGAGAGATCTGTAAGCAATTATAAGAACCTTGGACTTTATTCTGAAT